CTGCTGATGAACGGAACTTTTCTACAATTAGTACTGGTTATAAAATCCACACGCCGCTAGGCGCGTGGCTCTGGCAGCAGTTGTGTAGAGCTAACTGCCTAGCCCACCCCCTATTGACTTGCAAATGCCACTCAACAAAGCCCCACCCGCTGAGTCACAGTCACACTCCCCCCAAGTGTTTTTAAAAAGAATTTTAAAACTTACCCACTCAAGTTGGCTGCCTGGAAACTGCTTTCTCCTCTTTCCTAGCAGGAACTGGCCTGGAAAGCCTCCTTCTCTGTTTTCTTTCATGGCAGAAGCTGCCAGGAGAACTCTCCACAGCCATTTCATGAACCACAGAGAGCAGGGAGCATATTAAGGAAGGACATGCAGAATCCAGAGCCCCCACCACACACCCTACCATACCCCTTTAATGAACAGATGAGTGGTTGAAGCAGAGCTTGAAACATTACTTTTTTGAACTGCAGCTGTTAATGACTAGCCATTGGCTATGCTGGCTGGGCATTTGTGGGAGCTGTTATCTTTAAAAGTCTTCATCTTCTTAGTGACGTAAAGTGGCATAAGTCCATCTTAAGACAATCATAAGTCACATTTTTGGTTATTTCATAGGTCATATCAACCATACATAGCATCCCCCCAAAACCATATTTTAGATGCAGGAACCCCTGTCTGCCTGCCCACCCCCAAACTGGCCATTTATTGCTAGTAGAAAACAGGGATATGAGAGAAGCACCTGGCTGTGTCCCTGTAGCCAGACACAGAACAATGACATCATCTGCTGAGGCCTCCATAATATTTTTACAGCTCCCAGAATTGTTCAGATGGCATAACCAATGGTCAGCTTAGCCACTAGGAGTTGTAGTCCAAAAAAAGTAATGTTTCTAACCTGTGATAACCTGGGTGGCTCTGAATCTGAGGAAATGCTCATTATTCATGGGACAGTGTGGCTCTGGCCCCTATGGATCCAAAACCAACCCTGATATACTTCTGGGATAGTTCCAGTGATAGAAGAGCAATAGTAGTGGATGTTCATCCCTTAACTCAGAGGAAGCTTCCAATTGTGGGTTTCTCTTTGTTCAGGC